GCCGCCCCACCCCGCTGACGCTAAGTCCCACGCACTGCGCGCTGCCCGGCGGGAGCGGCGGGTAGGTACCGCTTGCATCCCCAAAGGTATGAGCGAAGCGCCCGATGAGGGGGTAAATAAGTCATGCGCTCTGTTGCTCCAGACGCTCCTCGCAAAAGCTCACCTGCACTGAATTGTTGAGGATCCACGTAAGGTCCGCCATGATGTAGGCGAACATGAGGTTGGTGTGGATCGAGTTTCTCAAACAGTGCAGGTCCCTGGAAGAAGAAAAAGAAGAAATAAATAAAAAGGCAGTACGTCCGGCGGTGGCCCCCACGGAGATCGCGTTTCACCACCAGGACGTCGCGCAGCGTGCCCTTCACTTACTTGAAGGACACGAAGATGAGCACGGCAAAGGCGAGGGCGACGAGGGACAGGCCGTAGCCCACCTGGTACACCATGGTGACGAACTCCACGGCGCCGGCCTCGGCGGCCTCCAGCTCGGGACCCGACACCACCACGTCCTTGCAGAGAGAGTAGTTGGTGCGCGACCAGGTGCCGTTCGGGAAGCACCATCTGGAGGCGTTTCCTGCAAGCGCCAGTTAAAGTTTGTAAAAAATATTTTGAATGCAAAATTTGAGAAAAATTTGGTCGAAAAATTCAAAATGTATTTTCTTTAGGCCAATGTTTGAACGAGTCTTGTCGCGTGCCTTACCCGTCGGGTCGTACTTAATGCCGTTCAGCTCCTCGAGGCACTGCTGCACGGCGAGGGCGCCCGGCCGGGTGGGCGGCCAGCACAGGATCAGGTCCCAGCTGGCGGGGCAGTGGGGGTCGTGGCCTTCCAGCGGCGTCGAGGCCGTCGTCAGCGCGCACAGCTGCAGCGGGGTCGGTGCAAGAGAAATATGGTCTCAGAGAGCAGCTACACCCCGCCATATAAGGGCGCGTTTCATTTGCTGGAAATGCCAGTGTCAGGGCCCTTTAATTTGTCGAGAGTGCCGGCTCTGCTCTCGCACAGCGGAGCTGCCGGAGCTCTCGGGGAAGTGCGGGGCTTCGTGACCCGACCTCCCCCGGCTGCTCGGCGTCGGAAATGAAGTGTATAAGTGAAGGTAGGGCACCAGGAAGAAGGGTTCCGGCCTCTAAAATGTTCTTCGTTCCGTGCTCTCATACTATGGACACCCATTCCCATTTCAGTTAGTGGCCTGCAGGGCACAACTTCCCTGGAAAAATTGTGTTTACGAAACATTTAAATAAACGGTGGCTCTTGCCACACGCCCAACGTACCCTGTATAATATGTTGTAGCATGCAGGATGAGGATGCAGGCGTGTTGGGCAAGTCGCCAACTCGTTTGGGGGGCATTACGTGCCATGATACGACACAATAGGGAAACCGCCCGCGCCCGCATCTCTCGTCTGTAGTCTAAACTATACAAAAATTTCGAATTCAGCTTATTCAAACAAATCTAGGAATTTTGAACTCTACATTTAAGAACTTTTCGCGAATAAGAAAATGTGCTTCCTCGCACGCTTGTAGGAAAAAGTAAACAGAAAGAATAATGTGTACCTTGGTACAGGACTTTTTTTTCAGAAGTCCAGTTGCCTACCGTTGACAGGAAGCAGCCCGCCGTATACCGTACCTCGCTCTCGGGGGACGTGTAGGAGCCGTCCGCGCCGAGCCCCAGCAGGCTGTCGTTGATTGGCGGCCACGAAGCCCCGGCGGCGCCCAGCAACCGCGCCTCCGCGGAGCCGCCAGGAGGACCAGAGTCGACACCGGCGGCCGCGGCACCACCTGGAACACGACGAGAGTCGAAGACATCGCATCAGCGATCGAGAGTATGGGGGAGAGGCATGGGGGTGAGGTAGGACGGAGGGGGC